CGTTTGCCTGCTGACTTCACACACCGACTCGTCACGACTTTGCACAGACTTTTAAAAGGGAGATTCAGGAAAAATTCTGAATCAAGTCTGGCTGGGCTGAACCAGGGATCAGGATTAAGGGAATTCTGTCACTCCGGGAAGGATACAAAATTAGCTTTGGATGAACAGAATTCTTTTCTGGCATGACACCTGGACGAAAGGGTTTTTTATGTAAACAAACATGTGTTAATGTTAAAAATAAATGCTTAGAAAATTACAAAGTGAAACCAGCGCTCATTATACTGGCAGATCTTCTTTTGCTATTCGCTTCTATAAATAATATGAAGTCTGATGGTTGGTATGGACTCTTAAGATTGTCATCTTAAGCTCACCTTCATTGCAGTTATTGAAAAATGGCGAAATTATATGAAATGTAAAAGTTATATTTGAAACAAAGGAACTGATGAAAACAATGGCGACTCACACATTAAGACTGTTCCTTCAAATCAGTTAGCTATCTGATACCCTCACATTAAATCATGACAATTTTGTGGTTGAATGAAAGGCTTTTCAAATGTATTTTGGATTGCGGAGGGACATGTTGAGTTATAGCTAATATGGACTGTATATATTTATGTAATTATTGCATTATGATTGTCAGATGTTTAACTATAGACCGAGCAACCTGTAGATGAGGTTTCTTAAGAGATATTTATTCAAACAATGTCGGCTAGACTTCCTAACATCTTCCCTTTGGTGTCAAATGTGTCTTTAAATCAGTTGGACAAATGTTTTAAGTCACTGTACTCTTAACATGTACAGCTTGATGTCGACCTGCAGTCTGTTTAACGTCTTCAGAGTAAACCTCATAAATACAACTGACAGTCTGTCACCTGCTGGGAGACTCAGCTATCAGATGGACTTCACACTCCTCTACAACCCTGTCCTCTGTTTACATCTCTGCTAACACACACACACACACACCCCCGTTCACAGTCTAAGTGGACTTTTACAGATTCAGTGAGGATCTAATGAACTGTACAATACTGCCTTCAGACCAATCTAAGGAACAACTCCAAATTGTATTCTGCCCAGAAAGAGATGAACTACTGTTTTAATGTGAAACTTCATACTGACAGTGACTTATCTGAACTCTTTAAATATGACATCTTGCTTATATCTTAAAGTTTTGGAGTTGACCTGTAAGCATTGTTCCAGTTTCACAGAACTTCCTGAAAAAGTTTTCTTGGTGAGCTGCATGTTTACTCAAACTACATTTTTCCCCCTGACTTTTTCCAGAGTTTCTCCTGTCATCCCCAAAGTATCTTTTCTGCATGAAGTCCCAGTGAGCAGCAGGATATCGTAAGGAAATTGATGTCGAGCACATAGGGAGGTGGTGGTGACGTTTACTCACCATAGACTGTATACCACGACTGTGCTATCTCTGTGCTTGTCATTAGAATACTGCATTTTGTTTTGTTTCCGCCAGAATCTTCTCCACTCTTTTGTTGATATTGTGACTCTGTCAAACTACACTTAGAATTGATATGAAGACAAATAATCTCATCATAGTGTTGTATAGCGCAGTGTTTTTTACGGTAGGGGTCCTGACCCCCCCCAGGGTGGTCACAAGGGGGCCCTAGGAGAGTCCCAGAAACTTGGAGGGACGAGGGGGGGGAAATGGAAGAAAAATTAAAATCATTTCACAGCATCCTTGGTGAAAATAAAAAAAATAATAAAAAAAACATCTTTTGAGATTTTATTAAACACTGCATATCAAATTCTGTTTTATTGACTGATGTTAAGTCAATACAGTTGAATGTCTGATTTTTGCCATCCTAATGCACAGGAAGGGGTAAGGAATTTAGGATAAATATTCAAAGAGGTCCATGCAAGAGGGTAAAGCGTTATAGGGTTTATTCATATGGCAAAGCTTGGGAACCCCTGGTATAGCGGACTTTGTTACTTTGCCCGACCTCTTTTACACATTTGGGGTCAAAGGCTCACTAAATAATTGTTTATGTTTCCAACACTGGAGATGACAGATGCTTCTAGTTATGAAGCTTGGATTAAGGTTAGTGTTATGTTCACCCTTTCACGAATACATGTGGGACTACAGCCAGAAGTTCATTTCAGTTTATAAAGAATAAAAGTGCATTGCATGTTTTTTACCGATTAGCTTTAAATCTGATGCAAGCTTAGGTGTAAATTCAATTATTGTTTCAACACTACACTGTAAAAACTATTAACCCATTTTATACTAAGGAACACTTCAGCAGGATGAAAGTCTGAGGGAACCTAAACCCAGAGTGTCGGTCAGAGTGACCACAACCTGGGAGAAAGTGAACACACAGGTCACGTGACCAGACAGCCACAACACAACACTTCCTCTGTCTATCACTGAAAGCTCACACATAAACAAACAATGCGGAGGTAGTGGTCGATCACCTCCGATTAAAACACACACTTTATCCGACTCATGGCGCAATCAGACTGCTGTCAAAGCAGGTGTGTGTACCTGCTGTTTAACTGTAACTGGTCTCACTGTGTCAGTGTGTTTCACTTTCAGTTACAGGTGCACAATAATAAAGACTTTGAAGTTTTTGTTACAATGCAACACCAGCAATTATTATGATACTATTTCTGTCTTATCTTATTTATGTTGATAGTTTATATTAACGATTATTTTTCAACTCTGTGTAATTCTATGAAGTTTTGGGTTCTTTATGTCCTCCTGAAATGTCCAAAGATAGTATGGATTCCCATATTTATCATGATTCTTTTTAGCACATTGTAGTGAAAACCTCTCATGTAGTAAACAGACTTGAAGTTTAAAGTTTTAAGGCCAAACTGCATCATTTTTCTTGCTTCATAGTTTTTAACATTGTATCAATTAAATGCAAAGTCTTAAAACTAAACTTATTGATAATAGGAGTTTTAAATAAGGTAATGCTGCAAATAAAAACAATATGTTATAACCTGGTTTGCCTTGTGAATCCTGAAATACCATACTGTAATGACAGCATTATTATGGTATTCTTCATGAGCCTAATCTGAATGTCATTTTAAATTCTCAAATGAAGAGATATGCTGATCCAATATTGGCAGATGTACTAAGTGAAACTGTCGCACTGTCATAAGCAGAGGAGATTAAATAGTTCAGTTAAATCAGTAGAAAGTGTCTGCTTACTCTGATCCAATGTAGAGAAAATGTCATTGTAATAATACCCTGTGCAATCAGTTACATCAGATCAGCTGTGGTTTTTAATTGCTGATTCTATGAACATGCTGTTTCTAGAGTCTTTGCACATGTAGATCACTTTGTCTGTACCATCACTACACTAAAACATGTGACAGTGTTAGTGAGTTATGTACAAAACTTTTGAAGCGATCATATTCTAATCTGTAAAGTCTAAATCAACAATGACAAGCTGATCGAAGGTTGTCAAATATTTTGATTCATTATATAATGTTTTTATTTTAATAATTGATAGCAGGGTTTCAAATTAGCACTTGCCACCGGCCAAATGCAGTGCCGTGTCATGTGAATTTACTCAACCTACCGCTCTGACTTTACGAGCAGAGCCGGGCGGTCCTGCACACTCAGTAACCAAAGGGATCCGCCTCCTCATCGTGTCAGAGTGTGCACAATGACAGGACATCGACTGAAATGGTGCGGTGTCACTTGAGCCCAGCTCAGCCAGGATTTGCACCTCCATTACAACAGGTCTACCAGCTGAAGTTTGGTTAAAACGGACGTCTTGTGGCTGTGACTCCTGGTTAAAGGAGCGGTTGTAAATACTGTCACCCCCTACCATGTTATCGAAAAATCCCTGCATGGTCGGATGTTGGAATGGTTTGCTTGGTTGGAATCACAAGAATCGTTGCTTTCTAGCGGTGTATAGCACACGCAATACTTATACACAGCAGTTGTGTAAATAACAGTGATAATGAGAAAACACACTCTGCCTACAAGGAAAGTGATACATCAAAAAAGGTTGTATTATTTTGAGTTTCTCATAAGAATTCAAATCTATTTACATTGCAAAAGCTGATGATTTTGTTGTGTTTTCATAACATATTTATTAAGGGATAAACAGGGGATTTTTTTGATTGTGTGTGGATTGTGTCCAGCTCTGTCTAAATTGCATGAAAACATCGGCATTGTGTTAGTGTACATGTGCATAACAGTGCAGTGCGCATAAGTTGCTTGCAACTTTTGGTAATTACTGCTCGCTTACAAAACTGCGACAAAAACGGCTCCTCCTTACTTAAACTCTCTCCAGGTCTACACTCCCTCCCGCCCACTACGCTCTGCCAATGAAAGGCTTCTGATCCAACCTTCACAACAGGGTCGCTAAGACGCTGACTAGACTCTTCTCCTCTATCGGCCCCCGGTGGTGGAATGAACTTCCAAACTCCATTGGATCTGCAGAGTCCCTGTGCACCTTTAAGAAAAAGCTAAAGACCCAGCTCTTTCATGAATACCTACTAACTTAATGATGATGGTCTCCATATTATTGACGATGATGATGGTTGTGACGATGGTTTTTGTTTGATAACGACGACTTATAAGATGGTTTCTATACTGATTAGAGCTCTCAAGAACTGCCCTCAATGTTGTGCTTTGCCTCTGGTCACTTCCTGTCAGCACCTGTGTGTCCAATCAGACTCAAAGCTGATCGTTTGCTCTTACTGACATTGTTTCATTTTTTCTAAATCCTTGCTCGTGTTGTACTTACTCTCTGATGTACATCGCTTTGGATAAAAGCGTCTGCTAAGTGAATTGCAGAATTATTCAATATTGAATTAAATACTTGATAATAGGATGTGTAGTAATAGGGCTGCTGTACAGAATACCGTTTATTTCTGCTGCTATCATATCAGAGTTTAAAATCTTGTATTATGCCAACCTACTCTGATCACTGTCCTCTTGTTGTTGTTGTTGTTTTCATGCTCCCGCAGCCTGTTTTCTTGTGTTTGTGCTCTGTGTACAGTGTCTGTCCGGTGCTCTCACTCACCGCTATCAGGGTGCTGTTCCGGCTCTGCTCCGCCGCCGTCCCTCCGCTCTCCCCGTGCTCCGCGCTGGCTCCGCCGCCTCCGCCTCCGCCTCCACCCGGCGCTCTCTGCCCGGCTTGTTGGTCTCCGCTGCTCTGAGGCTGCCGGTGCTTGTTGGACCGCTTTGCTTTGGCCTGCAAACAGCGCTGGTGGAGGGCGAAGGTCTGCTGCCTCTCCAGCTCCAGCCGCTCCAGCGTCGCGTTCTCGTAGCGGCTCTCGCAACTGTTGTGATGCTGCCGGAAGAGCTCGATCCTCCGGCGGAGCCTCTCCATCACCGCGCTGTGTCGCGGTGTAACAAAATCCGCCATCATCAATAAAGACTTGTAGTATACTCCCGGCTCAGGTTGCTCAGGTCCATAAAATGCTGAATTAGGCTCTTTTTTTTTTTCCTCACTCTGGGCGTCTATACACCCCCCCTCGCCCTTTACAAAGACTCCTGTGCTGGCTCCATGCAGGCGACCTTTGTCTTGCTAATGGCCTTCACTCCATTTCCTTCACTGCCGGAGAGGAAAATGAAGGTTTTTGGGGTACATTTTTACTCATTTAAACCCAAACTGTTAACGATAAACCTCAAGAAAAAAAAAAAATCCAACAGCTCATTTAAGTTGCTGTGTAAAAAAAACAAAAACAGAGGGAGTCTTTTTTTTTTTTGCAAGAGCCACAATCCGCCTGAGTTTAACCCCCCCAGAAAAAAAAATCAAAAAGATTTACCCCCCTGATGAATGAAATCAAACCTGCTACTCTTTTCTTCAACATCCATTACAATTTTAACACAAAAACAATCAATGAAACAGGCTGCTTTCACAAGTTAAGTTAGCGCATTCCTCCACTCACAAATCAAAGTTGAAGCGTCGAAAAAAAAATCCCCCAAAATCTCTCAAAAATGATATTTAAATCACATTATTAAGAGCTGGTCCGCATTGCCTTATAATCTCACATCCATGCTGTTACTTCCTGTCACACTTAAATTCCACTGCGGCAGCATAACAGGTCTTCAACTTGTGCCTGTAACTTTATTTTGCTCTTGTAGTATTATATAGGTAGCTTTAGGGGGGGGGGGTTAGCATAGCAGAAGCTAACTGGCTAGCAACTTCACTTGTTCACAAACTTGCCAAGCAATTACTCCGCTTCTAAAAAAACAAAACATGTAATTTCATCAAATATTACAAAATTCACACGCCTTCAAACAAAGCGCGTTGTCTTTGCGGGTAATTAAAAAGCCTGAGTGTGTGTGTGGGGGGGGTTTAAATCCACTTACCGTGAAAGTGTTGCTCTCCGCTCCTCTACAGCATCTGTGTAGCAAACAGCTGATCCTCCGCCTCTAGTTAGCCGCTAGCTGCTAGCCGCTAGCTGCTAACGCTGTGTTTTGGGTTGGAAGGGGCTAACGCTTGGCTAGCGAGCTAAGTGGCTAGCCCGAAACATTTAAATAAAACATCATATTTTGAACTTCTCTTATTCCGAGGCGATGGCTCGGATACTCTTACCCTTGCTGAGCACGACTTGTGATAAGTACGGTTTTTTTTTTTTTAAAGCTGATAGCGGATCGGGGCTAACTCTGTCCCTCTGTGCTGTTTCTATTGTTTTCCAGCGGACAGGCAGGTCCACACCGCCATCTTGGAAACTTTCTCTTTTTTTTTCCATCAGCGACAGGAGGAATGTCCGTGCGCCCGCCTTCACCCGTGATTGACAGCCGGGACAGCCAATGAAAGAGCGGGTTAGGAAAACTAAGTGTGTTCAACGTTTTTTTGACAACAGGGGATAATTTAAAAAAATCAGTCGGATTTTAAAAATAATTTGTGGAATATGAAACATAGACGGTCAAGTGAGCTTTTGCGATTAGTAGAAAAATGCTAATTTAACGCTAATATTCAGCGACAGGAGGAATGTCCGTGCTCCCGCCTTCACCCGTGATTGACAGTCGGGACAGCCAATGAGAGAGCGGGTTAGGAAAACTAAGTGTGCTCAACGTTTTTTGACACAGGGAATAATTTAAAAAAATCAGTCGGATGTTAAAAATAATTTGTGGAATATGAAACATAGACGGTCAAGTGAGCTTTTGCGATTAGTAGAAAAATGCTAATTTAAGGCTAATATTCAGCGACAGGAGGAATGTCCGTGCTCCCGCCTCACCCGTGATTGACAGCAGGGACAGCCAATGAGAGAGCGGGTTAGGAAACCTAACTGTGCTCAACGTTTTTTGACACAGGGAATAATGAAAAATCAGTTGGATTTAAAAAAAATATTTGTGGAATATGAAACATAGACGGTCAAGTGAGCTTTTGCAATTAGGAGAAAAAAATCTAATTTAACCCTAATATTCAGTAGGTAGGCGTGGAACAGCGTGCCCCCCCCCCCCCTCTGTGATGAATGACAGCAAGAAGACAGAATCAATAATAAATCAGTCCCCGCCCACTTCCGGGTAAGCTTCTGTTTTGAGTAGCCCAAAACGGTCAAAACAAAAAACAGTCATTGTCAATACTCTGAATTGTGTTGGTGACAAGAAGCTCATACCTGGAAAGAAAAGGGGAAAAACCCTTATTGACATTTAAATTGGAAATACTCATGTGTAAAAGGTAAAACACCTTTCAATTTGTAGCTCATTTCGATCATTGTACTGGAAAACACATAATTTCACTTGTTTCAGTTTGTCCAACATGTTTTTGTTGTCTTTATTGTCTTTATTGGGGTTTTTTTCTTTTTCAAATACAGATAAAATTTTTTAAAAACAATCTGAGAAATGTTTATTCATACCTCAAACCAACACAAAAAACTCAATGATAATAAATAAATAAAAAGATAAGATATAGAAAACACAAGTAAAAAACAAATAATACTAAAATAATAAGATAAAAAGATTTAAATAGTAATAATAATACAACTTGGAGGATGTCTAGTGCTCTGGATTTCACTAAATTATTATTTTTTCCTGGGGTTGTTTTTGTTATAGTAGTCTATAAATGGCTGCCATATTTAGTAAAACATATTTATCTTTTTTTTTTTAACTGCAAATGCTTCATTACATCATTCATAAAAGCTTGATAAACTGGAGGATTTTTTTTGTTTCCAGTTCAGCCGAATTCTTCTTGCTAACAGCGTCACAAAGCATATCACATCCTTCTGGTTGTTTGATAAAGAGAGCTCCATAGCAGCTGACCCAACCCCAAACATTGAAAGAACTGGGTCTGGATTGATGTTTCTAGAAAATCTCAGACAAACTTTGGAATATTGTCCAACATGTTTTTGTCTCTAAATCACTTTGTAGCTTAATTTGTAAAGGTGACAAAAGATAATTATTATTTTCCTTATTTAAATGTAAGCTTTAATTAAAGTTGAAATCAGACAAATCACAGGCAACCATAGTTCAGTTTCCATTTGGCCTTTTTATTCATCGAAACAAATGCGGCTGCATGTCTACTAACACACACACACACACACGCACACACACGTCAGGCTCCATCATCACAGTTTTTCTATTCAAAGTTGGACCTCTGTGTGTGTGTTCTGTCAGCAGGTCCACCTCCCTACAGAGTGTGCACATCAGAAACAGGCTGGGCCAACTGTTTAGTTCAAACACAGTCAAACAAAAATAAAAAGTACAGGGTTACAGAGTCATACATTTTCACCAGCAGATACAGTGTTCAGTCTACAGAGTCTGTTAGCTAGGCAGCTTCAACCTGACGCACGAGCAAAGACAACGAGAAAAGAATCAGACAGAAAAGACACAAAGAGGGAGACGATGGAAGAGTTTGGTGGAAAGTTTTGTGACTTAAATGTATGCTGCTGCTTTAAAACTTTATCAATTTAGAGTTACTGCTACAGAGTAACAGAAAAGGAGTCAAAGCAGCAGAGTCACAGCCAAAACTTAACTATCTTGTGTCAAAGAGAGGAGGAAAAAGAAAGGTTAAAGATCAACTGACATGGAAGCAGGAAGGCCCAAAATCTGAACACACCAACGGCCAAATATTTGACGTTTTCCCCGCCCAGCTGTCAAATCCCACTAGCCAATCACAGCAGCACAGAGTTTCTTGTCAAGAGAGCCAATCCTCACCTGAATTACCAAGAGAAAAAATACGTCTTACAGATTAAGTTTTATAGCTTTTAACCTTTTGGAAAACTGAAGTATGACACAACCAGGAGATAAACAGACACATCAACAGTTACTACATGGATAAAAGAGCAGACAAATGTAGATATTCAATTTTTTTCACACATTTTCAGACTCACAAAACCAGGTTTATTTCAGATTGTACAGGTGAACCAAACTGTGTACTGACACCACTTATCAGCCTCTGCTTTGTAATCTTTACATGGTTCTTTTTTTTCATCAATATATAAAATAACTCTTAACAATTTTAAACCCAAGTTGACATCTTTGCAAGGAAAGTTTATTAATTTTTTCTCGTGTTGTTTCTTCATGATCACAAAATCCTTCAGAGTGTTAGCGGAGAGAAAACTGGAAATGTCCTTATGGTATAAAAGAAAAGATCTTTCCATACTAGAGACACTTAACAGTTTTAGGTGTTTTCAGAGAAGTTTGTTTGACTAGTAGCCATTTGTTTGCCTACAACTGAGGACATGAGACTAGAAGTTGTCAGGCAGCAGCAGACTAATTGCAAGTTGCACATTAGACATTTTTAACAAAGATAGATTCATTTTTGTAAATTGGAAAACACCACTGACATGTACAGTGCAAGATCAGCAAGAGATGGAAGGGTCCAGTCTTGTCCACATGGGTCGCCAAAATCAACATAACCCGAAAGCTCCTCACAGGAGCTTTAAATCGTCTCAACTGTGACTGATTCGCTTACAGAAAAAACTAACAAGCTCCATCTATTGTTTAAAACCCTGAGATGTTGTTGAAAGCTCAGAAAAAAGGCTCATAAGTGGACCTTGAGCTGAGATTATTTGTAGACGCTGAAGTGCCATCTCTTAAACATGGGGGTCTAATCTGACAAGGATTCAGGATACAAGCGTCTTATTAGTGGAGGTCTGGTGTAGGTGTTGTGGTGCCGCAGGTGGACAAGGGTGAGGTTAAGCGCCTGAGTTTTCCCTTAGTGCCTTTTTCTTTTTATATGGGGTCAATGAAAGAGGGACTGGGTGTCTGTCCACCTGCTCACATGTTGAATTTAAGTCAAAATAAAGACGGCAGCTGCTCATTTAAAAAAGGAGAGCTGTTGATGAGTTTAAGGTGTGCACATGAAACACCAGGAAGATTCATGTTCATCACCTGGGTGTGGTTTTTAAAAAAATAATCCAACAGAATTCAATCAAATCAGGTTGGTCAAAAGCAAAAAAAAAGGATTACATAGTCGGATAAGATCAGGGTCTCTCAAATCCTGGTTATTGTCCTGATCAAACACCTAGTTTGTGTTATTTGAACTTTAAAATAGGATTGTGATCAAAAAGATCAGGATCGTTCTGATCCAAGCAGAGGGCTGGATTCAAGTGGAAATAATGTCAGAAAAACAAAAGTCAAAATCCGGGTTTGCTTTAGTGAAAAAGTAGGTATAGATAAGGGTTTTATAAGCAATACAGGACTTTTGTTTGCATTAAACCAAACAGCATACATGTCAAACAGATATTTAATTTAAAGCAGCTATGAGGATCTTTCTGTTTGGGTGGATTTTGGCGCCCCCTGTGGACAAAGAATGTAGTATGAAGTCCCATTTAAAGCTCTGATAAACAGGATTTGGTTATCCTTAATTTTTTTTTTACCTGGATCAGGGTGATACATCCAGTTTTCTTATGAAAAACCAGGATAAAAGTAAGCTTGATTAAGTGATCCCTGGTAGAATAAAAGTGGATTACCAAATCTGGATAATTTATTTTAAATGGGAAAAACCTTTTGAACAACTGGACCATGAAGAGGTAAACTGTAAAATTGTAATCTCTAACTCCTAGGGGAGTAGATCAATGCAGAAGATGTTAAAAAAAAATCAAGATCTACAAAAATTGACTCACAAGAAAGTAAAGTCCTAGTAGCTCCAGAGTGTAAAAAAGTATTTTCACAGAAGTCGTTTCCGATATATTATTCTTGTTTTTATTTGAGGAAGATCATCTGCTGCTGCTGCCAGGCAACCATCATCATAATGACGCCATATTTACGTTTTTAAAGATAAATGGTTAGTTTACACAGACAGGATCAGTTTGACAACATCCACCTTAGTCACCCTAGGTAAAACTCTCCTTTAACTTCAACGCTCTCTTTGACCCAGAGTCTTCACCTTTCTCGAAGACTTCAGGACATAAAATCAGAAGAAACACTCGTTCTAGTGGGGCCAACATGAAGCTAACCGATTAACACTTCAATGACAGAAAATGAGACGTAAAAAAAGAAATAAAGAAAACTCATATCAGCTGGAGTGTTCCCAGTTCAGCTCTTTAAAATCATTAGCACGTGGCTAATCTCTAAATTTAAGGACACTAGCTAGCAAAATTATAAAATATCAAAAGAATAAAAAAACAACTGTTAGTATGTGAATTTGAATCTCTAATTTGCTAGGTGTTCGTAAGTCATTATTTTTTGTGGGCTTGTTAGAAGCTAATTATGCCAATTAGTAGACTGTTTGTAGTCCAAATGGGTTGATAGCGTTTTCATGAGCTAACTAGCAT